AAATGTGAAATAACTGCTTGGTCTGTCCTGGGCTGGATCTGGAGCAATGGCCCAGTCCTGACTGATCAGCTGGCCTGTGTCTCCCAGGAAGCCAAATGTCCCCAGACCGTTCAATTGATATGACAGGCTTTGACACGTTTTATTTCAGCTTTCTGAGCCAGCCCAAAAATTTAGGAGCCAGGCTTAAAATTTTTCGGCCTTCAGGGTTTTATATCTTAATGACCATCCTTTCTAATGATCGCAGCCAGAAAAACTAATCCTTAACTCTTCACAGTTTCTTTGCACTCTTTTTCAAGCGAAAGTGTTGTGACATATAAATAAATATGGGGTAACATCTGGCTGTCGTTACAACAAGTTTGCCCTGCTCCTAAATAACCTTTTTACTTCAACAGAGAATCACCAGGACGATTTCTGCGCATTAAAATCTGCACATTGTGTGAAATTTTCTGCAGTAGATTTTTCCTCACCAGGCTCAAACCCGAAGTCTTCTCATTCTTTCCACGCATTTTCAGAACTCGTTAAAACTGGGGAATTTCTGGCTGACTCTCCCTTCTTGCCCAGTCTTTCTTCCCTACAGGACACAAAAGAAATGACTGGGCAACATCCTTTCTCTTTCATACATTTGAACACAGACAGCTGCAGGAAATATCTATGAGATCAGTTTTCACCTGGAGATTTTAACAAGGAGTTTCAGGTGAGCGAGAAGGAGACACAGCTCGTGCTTTGCATGCAGGAAAATGCAACCCCCTAGCACAGCGGTTCTCAACCTGTGGGTCGCGACCCCTTTGGGGGGTCGAACGACCCTTTCACAGGGGTCGCCTAAGACCATCGGAAAACACCAATTTTCGATGGTCTTATGATAGGGCTCCCAAGTCTCGCCAAATCGCGGCGGGGGATCGCATCTCTTTGCAGAATCCCTGCCGCGGGGACGGCGAGACGCGTTGCACCCGCCGTCGCCAGGACATGATGCTACATGTCGCTCTGGCAATGGGGCTGTTTGGGGGTCACCACAACATGAGGAACTGTATTAAAGGGTTGCGGCATTAGGAAGGCTGAGAACCACTGCCCCAGCACTTCCAGTTCAAAGGTTGAGAAGGAGGAACGGGCAAGATCTGGGGATGCCAGCCTCCAGGTAGGGCCTGGGCATCTTCTGGAATTACAGCCCCCCTGGAGGAAATGGGTGCTTTGGAGGGGGGACTCTATGGCCTTGTACCTCCCTGTCCCTTCCGGGCTCCAACCCCAAGGCTCCAGGAGTTTCCCAGCCTGCATCTCCCATTCCCCATCGGTGATGAGGGGGGACCTGGCAACCCGAGCAAGACCTCGGGGAGGGATTATTCCTTCAGTTTCTAAGGGCCACTGCAGTCGGGAGGGTGTGCAGTCTGCATGTGTTCCCACACCAAGGCCTTGCCTGATCCCCTAAAAATCCACAGGGCGCATTCCACTTCTTTCCAACCCTTTCCAAGCTCCTTCTTGCTCTCCCATTGCAGGGAAGAGGAAGACATGCGTTTGCCAAGGAAAATATGTCATATGGCTGAACTATGGGTAAAAACAGCGGCAGAACATAGCATGTAGGGAGAAATGGCCATGTGAAATAGTCAAAGTAATTGAGGGGATCCGGGCAGGAAGCTTTTACAAACATCTCTCTTGTGGACTGATACAGATGGCTAACACAGTGGTCCCCAACATGGTGCTCTCGGTCACAATGGTGCCTGTCAGTGTGTGTGCTCTGGGACTCACTCGCTTCTCCCCCAAAGGAAAGAACCAGTTCTGGCTTTTCTTCACTGTACTGGAGGAGGAGGTGCTTCAGAATGTTGGCAGAATAATTAGCCCAGCAATGGTGCACAACCTGATGAAAGAGCAGATAAAGGTTTATTTAGGAACTAACATACTTGATAGGAAAGAGGAGAGACAGAGAGAGGTTCCTAACTACATCTTTAGCTGAGAGGGTAAGAATGAGTGTGGCACTTCCAAGAAGAAGGGGGAAGTTGCTCTGAGAGTAGCAATCTGGAGACAGACAAGGAATGACACATCGCAGGAGATAAAAGGTTCTGACCTCACTATCCTGTCTAATTATCTTCTTGCTGCTCCTTGCAGAGTCTTCTTCTTTGTATACCAGACTGTTAAGTATGAATGAATGCAACTCAACCACGATGTAAGTAACAAGTGAATCAGCTTTATTAAGAACGAGAACTCCAAAGATCACACAAGACGACACACGACAACTGCAGTGGAGCACAGCTCCTTTTTAAACACTCCTGGGCTGATGTAGCCACGCCCTTGCATAGTTAAGGTCCAATCATATCACATAGATAACAACCAATCCCTTTTGTTCCCTCCAGTACAGTTCTCTTACATTTGATTGGTTACAGTTGTTCATTAGCTTAAAAGGGGGGGAAAAGGAGCTTATTAAGGAGAAATTGGTAGAAAAGAAATTAATGGCAATGGTTTAGGGTGGTTTTATTTATGGGTAATTAATTTGGGAGGTTTGATTTATAGATGTCTTATTCACTTATTTAAGTTTCTTTATTGTTATTGGATGCATCGGAGGGAATTAAGTATATGAATGGATTTTGGTTAGGGTATTTTTTTTACATTGGGTAGGAGTCGGCATAGAAAAGGGGGTAGAGGTAAGGAATTGGGAAAACTAAGTAAAGTAGGAATATTAGGGATTTTTGTTCCTGATTGGTTAGATACTGTCTCGCTTTCTACTGTTGAACTGAACATAATATGTAAAAAGCAGAAGAAGGTTTTCCTAGAAACAACAAATAACTTAAACAAAATTATAAGAAAGATTTAAACACTGGTATAAAGAGATGATTATGAAGTAGCATAAAACTTTGGTTTATCGAATATAAAATGAATTTGAATTAGTAGACAGAAATGAATTATCAATCATGTAAGGTAATTGGCTGGTAGACTCTTGGTTGTCAGGAAAAAAATGAATTTGGAATAGTGGTAAGAAATGAAATATCAATTATGTAAGTAAAATGTGTGGCTTCCTAAAGTTTGTGGATGAATGAAGAGAAGGTGTAAAGGTATGAATAGGTTTTCTAATAAAATATAAGAGAAATGATAAAATAAAGAAAAGAGGGAAAGTATAATGTATCTGGATTGTTAGACATAGAGTGAATATAATTAGATATAAATTGGTATTTTTTTAAGCAACACAAATAGGGACTGAGGAATTATTTAAGGAATTTGATGGGCTATATAAAGCCGGATTGATAGTAACAGTAGTGATACTAAAGGAATTGTAATTTAAATCTTCTATAAATTTTGTTGTTAAAATAATGTTATATGTTAAAAAAATTATTTTTAATAGTTTTTTTTGTTGTTATAAACAAGTAAGACAAGTAGAACAATATAGGACAATATAAACAAACTCACCACCACCAACACACCCACACCATACCCCCAAACTAAAACTAAAACGGATCCTACGTCCATCCATCCTTAAATATAACTGATATTACAAATAGTTACAAAGTGTTTAGGGTACAATTCCCCTCACATATTTTTTGTATCCACTTATATACATTTGACCACCTTGTTTGAAAAACTGAATTCATGCTGCCCTGGAGTTTTTGTGTTGAACTGTCCATTTCAATGACTTCAATCATTTTATTAATAAACTCCCATCTATCTGGTACCTCATCTCTCTTCCAGTACCTGGCTAGTACTATTCTAGCTGCTGCCAATAAATACATCACCACATATTTTTCTTCCTTTTTCCAATTTTTCGGTAATATATTCAACAGAAAAATTTCGGGGTCCAGTGGTATTTGCACCTCTGTTGCCTGTGTTATTACCAGATGAACTTCTTTCCAGTATTTTTTAACCGCTGAACATGTCCACCATGCATGGTAAAAGGAACCTACTTGTGAGTTACATTTCCAACACAGGTTACTGTACCCTGGGTAGAACTTAGCCAGTCTATCCGGAGCTAGATAATCGTGCTTGAACATACTGGACAGGGAAAGGATAAAGAGGAAATGATGGTGTTATTAATCCAGACTGGAATGTTACAATGTACTTAAATACCTATATATCCCACTGTGTGTTTGTCTGTCAAAAAAGCAATAAATAAACTGTTAAAAAATAAATAAAATTTAGCGATTGCCATCCTATGGCAGCCATGTTGTGATTGGTCCAGCGCCCCTAGGCAGCCATTTTGTGGTCACACCTACAACTAGGGATGGGCACGAACCAGCTCATGAACTAATTCGTGATGAATTTTGGGCGGTTCGTGGCTCATGAACTGAAATTCATGGGAGGTCAACTGGCACGAATTTTTGCACAAACTTTCTTAATCACAGTTCGTGAATGGATACATTTCCAGACAGACTGCCTCTGCTCAATCTAAATGTTTACCAAACTTCAAAGCAACAGGAAGACAGAACTTGGAGGGCATGTAGAGGAGCAGCTGGGAGAGATCCCCTGTGACTTTGATGTCTCTCGCTTGCACAGGATCCATTCTGTACACTCCTGAACCTCCTGAACCCGGGCCTGTCATTTCCCCAGAAAGTACTTTCCAGGGGGCACCTCCTTTAGGAAGCTGTAACTCAGACCCCATAAATCCAATCCTCACCAAACTTGGAGGGCAGGTAGAGGAGAGTCAGCCAGAGATTCCGCTGTGGTTTTGGTGTCTCTAGCATGCCGGGGGGGGGGTTTCCTACTGCATCATGAACCTCACCAGTTTGTTTGGTGGCTAAAAGTTTATGCTAGTTCGTGGTTTGCAAACCGGGCATGCCACAAACTGAACCACATTTTCCCGGTTCATGCCCATCCCTACCCAAAGCCCTTTCTCAAAATTCCAAAAGAGCAGGGGTCATTGAGGGGTGGGGGGGAAGGTAGTCGTAAATGTCCTGCTTTGTGCAGGGGGTTGGACTAGATGACCCTTGAAATCCCTTCCAGCTCTATGTTTCTATGACATCTTGGCCACCATATGGGCTGGAGAGGCAGCAGGAGGTTAACCTAAGTTAATGTTCTATTGTTTTCAGTATTCTCGACTTTCAAAGCAATATGGAATGGACCTATACCTAAAGAAAGAGTTTCTCCAGTATACAGGATCCGTGAAGGAGAGGGGCGCACTGTACCTTCTGATGTCCTTACAGCAGGTAGGGAAACCTGTGGGGTGAAATGTGAGTATCTGAGCAAACGAGCTTTTCCCTTAATCAGTTTACTTGTGACCTTTACGTCCTTCCTTTTCTTTGTGTCACACAAAACTTAAGCGGGGAAGAGAAGATTTCCCAGAATGAGTCACCTATCCACAAAACTGCTCCTTGCTTTTTGGTATTAGCATTTTAATCTGTGGTTTGTATGTTGTGGAGAGAATTAGACGCACCATCCTCCGCCCATCTCTTTGGGATCTCAGGCTTCAAACTGTTGTTTCTTTCCTCTTGACCCCACCATTCTGCCACTGCGTCACTTCAATGATCTACGTGGACTTAAAAGTTGTCATCTGGCCTGGAGAAAAATGTCCATTGCCATTAAAAAGTAAAGGTAAAGGTTCCCTTGCTCGAAAGCCGGTCGAGTCCGACTCTAGGGTTGCGGTGCTCATCTCCTTTTCCAAGCCGAAGAGCCAGCGCTGTCCGAAGACGTTTCCATGGTCATGTGGCCGGCATGACTAAGCACCAAGGCACACGGAACGCTGTTGCCTTCCCACCAAAGTGGTACCTATTTATCTACTTGCAATTTCTTGCTTTCGAACTGGTAGGTTGGCAGGAGCTGGAACTAGAGACGGGAGCTCACTCCGTCATGCGGCACTCGGGTCTTGAACTGCTGAACTACTGACCTTCCACAGCCTGCAGTTCAGCGTCTTAACCACTCGAGCCACCGCATTAACAAAGGCTAAATTGGATGTTATTTACCTGGTGGTAATTAGCCATTAATAAAGGCTAAATTGGATGTTATTTACCTGGTGGTGTTATTTATCTCAGTGCCATGAAAAACTTCTACTGTCCATTTTCACACTTTAAGCCTCTATTAAAGGGACAGGACATTTTTCTCCAGGACAGTTGGCAACCATAGCAGTACCCTCCATGTATTTATTTTTCTAGTAACTATTATCACACATGGCCCAAGCCATCATGCTAATAGTTACACTCATGATTAAGTTCTTTATTTATTAAAACATTTCTACCTGGATTTTCCTCATGGTTTTGTCATGGTTCAAGTTCAAGCACAAATTATTGGCCTCTCACTGGATTCTCCAGCGTTCATTATTATGACTATATGTACATGGTTTCTACATGTACATGTTTGTGTGTGTGTATACAGACAGAGAGAGAGAGATTGGGCTCTTCCACCTTGTCATTTTCATCACTCTGGTTAGTAACATCTGAGCTGAACAGTACGGCTGTCAGTTCTAGCCCCGTGTTGGTGTGAGCTAACAACCTTGTCCCTAGCTCGCCATCCACCCAGCGGTTCGAAAGCTTCGGCGAGTAGATAAAATGGGTACCACTCCTTATAGAGGGTGGGCACACCAAAGACCCCCCCCCCGGTGGGGGAGGTGTTAGCCGGCGACCGGAATGCTCAGCTCGCGAGATTGAAAGCCTAAAGAAAAAAAAATCTCTTCGACTCCGAGAAGCCTGTAATGGGCCGTTCCGACCAGGCGGTGGCAGTGCGGTGCTGCAAGACTTGGAGAAGCTGACGTCATCTAGCCGAGCCGAAGTGAATATACCGACGGGATACGTCTGACCCTGCAGCTGAACAAACCCTCGCCGACTGTGGATGTGTGTGATTTAAAAGAGATATGTTGTCCTCCCTTACCCCCATAAATCGTTGTTAGTCCCGCGTGAATGAGTAACTGTGAATCGATATTATATGGCAATATGTCTGGCATATTTCCCTGCAGGGAAATCTGCAGGGAAATTTAAACCTGCAGGGAAATAATGCTGGACATACAGCCATGTAATATTGAACCAGCCAGTAGAGGGAGCAAAACACTTGTGGAGAAGAACCAAGATGGCTCAAGTGGTTAAGACGCTGAACTGCAGGCTGTGGAAGGTCGGTAGTTCAGCAGTTCAAGGCCCGGGTGCCGCATGACGGAGTGAGCTCCCGTCTCTAGTTCCAGCTCCTGCCAACCTAGCAGTTCGAAAGCAAGAAAGCAAGTAGATAAATACGTACCACTTCGGTGGGAAGGTAACAGCGTTCCATGCACCTTGGTGTTTTGTCATGCCAGCCACATGACCACGGAAACGTCTTCGGACAGTGCTGGCTCTTCGGCTTTGAAACGGAGATGAACACCACAACCCTAGAGTCGGATTCGACTGGCTTTCGAGCAAGGGAACCTTTACCTTTATCTAAAGTTGATTCCATCTACAATTATGACACTGTTGTCTTTTTAGTATTTGGGGATTATAATCTTTTATCTGGATTTTTTGTGTTTTATACTTGGAAATGATGTACAGTTCAAGATTCCATCTGGGCATAAATATATTTACGCTTTTCCAGTCTGGGGGTGTGGTTTTTTGGGGGGGTATTTTTCATGTTTCAGTGCTGCTTGTTTGTTTCCTCTTCCCCTCTGTTTTTTCTTCTTCTGGTTCAGCCCCACTCTGTAGTCTTACAGCAGTTCCAGAGGCAGCAGTCCCCAAATCTGATTATACCCCTGAAGATAACCTCTGATCTCCAACTGTCAACCGAGTCAAAGTGGTGTCATTGGAGGAAATGGTAGCCAAGGACTGCCAATAGCCCATATTCGGAGGGGACTGCAACCCCCCCCCATTTCTTATTTCTCCTCAGACTAGCCCTGCAGTAAAACTAGCTGCTAACCAGAGTCCTATGTTTAAACCTTCGTATTTTGCAGGAGCAGCAAAGGAAAGGGGTGATTGTCGCCTCAGACAACAACTTCTCCATGGCGGTGGCCTACCACGCCTCGGAGCACCGCATCCCTGTATTTGTCATCATGTCCACCGGCACCTCGCCAGCCAGAGTGAAAATGTGCCGTGACTACGGTGCCATGGTAATTTCCTACGGCGCCACAGCTAGAGATTCCCAGCTGCATGCCAGGAGGCTGGCACAGGAAAATGGCTACCTGTATCTTGAAGAGTAAGTGGGTATTTTACAGGTAACAGCTACATGTCCCTGCCTCCCAACACATTTAAATGGGGCCTGTGACGACCCCTTAACTGGGGAGGTCTGGTTTCCCTTTAAAGTGTTCTTTAGGTTTTATTTTATTATGTGTATCTGGCTGCCACCAGGAAATTTATAAGGCTTTCCAAACCTTTATGCTTTACTATTTCTATCACAGGGTAGGTGGATCGAGGGTTTAAGCTTTCGAGGAACTATGTGGTCTGAGGAAGGATTCTTTCCAGAGCTGGTGTACTTGAATGAAATAGGATTTATCTCTTCATCTCTTGCCTTGAAAACCCCATCCCTATAGCAATGGGGACGCACAAGCAAGGAAAATGAGAATGTGGTAATGCCCTTGGTTACCATCGCGAATGACGCTGCATTCAGACCAATGACAAGAGCTAGATGGAGAACCATTGCCGTGTCAGCCTGGATTAGTTAGTTACTTTATTAGTTTATAACGATCTGAGATCAGAAAAATCATACCCGCAGTAATCAAATAAACATTCCAATGGTTACATTACATTAATTACATTAGTTAAAATTAGATACATATTGTAACTGTAAACATAAACTATTATGCTAGTTAAAATTTGTTAAAATGCATCCTATTCTTCACGAAGAGTCGGACTCGACTGTGCTACTGAACAACAACAACAAATTATTCTGTCTAATTCGGCGAGCCTGAGCAAAAATCTCCCACTTTATGAGTTAATATGAATTGCCTTATTCTTGTAACAGTCACGCACAAGTCTATCGGTAATAAAACTTACAAATCTATCAAGGTATACTACCATTAAAACACATGTCCATATTATACAACATCATTCCAATATAAATAGTATTTTGATATATGGGAATCAACATTTGTAGTAGCACCACTAAGACTACATCGCGAAAGAAGGCTCCTATAATTTAAAACTGTACTTCTGTTTGATGACTTGGGTGCAAAATCTAGCTGTCATTCTGGCGATTGTTGGTATTTCATCTGCCAACAATTTCCCCACAATCATCTTGTGAGTTCGCTCCTTAACCTGCTTCAAAATAGGGAGGATTGTCTTATTCCTAGCATCTTTATAGAGGGGACAATGGATAAAAACATGTTCCAGTGTTTCCACCACACCGATAGGGCATGTACAGATTCTTTCGCTATATGGAATCCACCAATATCTCCCTTCTATTAGCTTAGATGCAGGGCTATTTTTGGGTAGGAACGCACAGGAACGGAGTTCCGGCTGCCTTCAGAGTTGGCCACGCCCACTACAGCCAAAACCTCTGCGTGTGTGGCTACAGAGGGAAAGCCTGGAGAGCAACCCCCTCCAGCAACTTCAAGATGAAGGGGGGCCCTGGAGGGGTTGGGGGGGCTTTTAAATGCATCCCCATGCCTTCCCTGGCCTGTCCAAGGGCCGGCTTGCCTGGGCTCCCCGCAGCCTGAGGCGCCCAGGCAAGCATGGTGTGTGGCCTAATATGCCAATGAGCTGTGCTATCGGGGTGTGGCCTAATATGCTAATGAGTTTCTGCTGTTGGGTGTGGCCTATTATGCTAATGAGTTCCTGCTGGGCTTTTTCTACAAAAAAAAAAAGCCCTGCTTAGATGGCATAACGTCACTTGTCAGCCCGGAAGGTCCAAAGAAAACTTAGAATGCACAAAGAAATAAATCGTTCATTGTCAGCTCGGTCTTTGGACCCAGCTCTCTCCCGAGTCTGCGAGAGGACTGTAGCAACGGCAGTCCAGCCACTGGAACTCAAGAGTGACGGCATGTGATGGTTCTGCCAGGAAGTACCCTCTGCTGCCAAGACACAGAAAGCTTAACCAAAAGGTCACTCTGAAGTTCTGGGAGAAGAAACTGCTTGGGGATTCTCCGGGAGCTCATCAAGGAGAATGAGATGGCTACTTCTTACGGTGTTTAGGCAGAGGTCGATTCGGGGGGAATCGCGGGGGATTGCAGTTCCCCCGGGTGAGGGGCAGGGGGCGGGGCACATGACGAAGCCCCACCCCCTGCTTCCGGCCGCCCCGCTTCCAGCCCTCATTCAGCCAGGAGGAGGCAGGAGAAGAGGGAGGGTAAGTTGCTTCCTCCCCGCCTCTCCCCACCCCTGCCTGCCTGGGGCCAGGGAGGGCCTTGGCGGGGCTTCCTCGCACTCCCGCCGGCCTTGCAGGTCCACTGCCGGGCCTCTGATGTCAGGGGGTGTGGCATATGCTAATGAGTTATGCTAATGAGTTCCCCTAGCTCTTTTTCTACGAAACGACCCCTGTGTTTAGGGCTGTCAGCCTCTAGGTGGGATTTGGAGATCTTCCAGAGTTACTACTGATTTCCAGACTTCAGAGGTCTGTTTTCCTGCGGGCAACAGCTGCTTTGGAAGGTGGATTCGGTGGCCTTAGACCTTGCTAAAGCCCCTCCCCTCTTCAAACCCCGCCCCCCTCAAGGCTCCTCCAGGGGAACAGACCTCTATCGTCTGGAGATGGATTGTAATAGCGGGAGATCTCCAGGCCCCACCTGGAGGCTGTGGCAACCTGGGCTGCAGTATTAGGAAGGTCAAGTAACGAATAAATATACACTGCAAGAAACTCTTGTAAATTAATGTGTTCTGTTTATAATTAACATTCCATAAAGTGCAATGTACGAACGGCATGTTATTGTAATATTGAACGTACTGAATATATATACCTGATTAGGATGTTATAAGAATACACAATGTACTTTATAAAATGTTAATTATAAACAGAACACATTAATTTACAAAAGTTTCTTGCGGTGCATATTTATTTGTTACTTGACCCACCTGGAGACTGGCAACCCTACCCAGGGAGGGTCCCTCGGGGCAGATTTGGTGGCCTGAGAATTCTGTGTCCCTTATTGCCAAGGACACAAAGGAGAGGTCATTTGTTTCCTGCGACTCCCCGAATGGAAAAGACAGCACATTTATTGGCCATAACAAGGAGATCTAGCGAGCTGCCTCGGGATTAGAACATTTTTCCTTCCTGCCAGCCACGAACGAAAAGTTATAAGTATCCTGCATCTGATTTGGATGATGTCTGATGGAGCAGTGGCATACAGTTACCCAAAAGCCTTTTTGTAATTTTTTACCATTGTCAGCCTGCAGGCTTACAAAAGGAAAATAGCTTTTTAACATATTTCCAATTTTTCAGCCTTGACACAGCCTTTCCCTCTTTAAGACTTGTTTCCTCCTAGGTTTGCTCCGAATCTGCTCACTCTCCCTTTTAGCAATTGATATTTAGGCCGCCTTGACTCCTCCTTAGAGCCTTCAGGGAGGTCCCAAGTATGAGGTTAAGGTATCCAGTTCTTGGCAGTCGATCGTGGAAAGACTTACGTGGTATCCACTTCGCTCAATTCGCTTTAGATTGAAAGCTCTAATTTCCTGAAAATTGTTCACTTATCCCAAATGCTAAATTTCCTCCACCCTCATCATGGAACGAGGTGGAGGTCTGAAACTGTATTGCTTCCTCTGCTTGGATTTTGGATGGAAACAGAAAACAGATGGCTAAGAGCAAGGGCAAAATTGCTCAGAATGTCCCGCCAAGCTGCCCAGAACTGATATTTTTGATAGCCGCTTGTATATCCAGTTGGTTTTGTTAAAAATTAAAATAGCCTCCAAAACGATTTAGAAGGTTCCCAAGAGAGAGAAAATGTAGGGAATAGACATCCACAGGTTTAGACGGGTTCATTTAAATTATTTTTATGATACCTTTCAGCACTTAGCTGTCGTTTACCCTCTCCCTCCCTCTCCAGGGGATCCTGGAGTAGGGATCTGCAACAAAGAATTATGCTTCCTCCCCCCCCCCCCACACACAAAATCCTCAGCCTTTCAAGTCTCTTTGGGTGACATCAAGACAATAAAACAAATAAAGAACCAATGTATTCTTTTTTGGATCTGTCTTCTGTCACCTTTCCTATTCGGCCCCATCTCCCTCTTTGAAGGAAGCTGCGGTGGCTCAAGTGGTTAAGATGCTGAACTGCAGGCTGTGGAAGGTCAGTAGTTCAGCAATTCGATTCCCGGGTGCCGTATGATGGAGTGAGCTCCCGTCTCTAGTTCCAGCTCCCGCCAACTTAGCAGTTCGAAAGCAAGAAATTGCAAGTAGATAAATAGGTACCACTTCAGTGGGAAGGTAACAGCGTTTGGCCACATGACCACGGAAACGTCTTCGGACAGCGCTGGCTCTTCGGCTTTGAAACAGAGATGAGCACCGCAACCCTAGAGTCAGATTCAACTGGCTTTCGAGCAAGGGAACCTTTACCTTTTTTCTGTCACCTTTCCTATTCGGCCCCATCTCTTTCTTTGAAGGAAGTGACAATTTCTGCCCAATAAAAGTGGTTTGCAATTTGGGGATCAGGTCTCCTTAGAAATAAGCCCCATTCTATTCAGTGGGGCTTACGCCTGGGAAAGTGTTCTTCGGATCACAGTTTGGTATCACAACTGTAAGGTTGTGTCTATGATGACACCCCTGTCACATTTAAGTTCTTTCCATTCGGTCTTTTTCTGTGCTAAAAACAACTCAAACATCTCTGCGACACTAGAAATCTTGAAAGATGTACGTTGACAGAAAATACATTCAAAGAGTTAACAAAGATGATCGCTATTTGATTGTTTTTTTTAACTACGGCTGCAAGAATTCTCTATGCAAAATATTGGAAATTACTGGAGATACCAACAAAACGAGAACTTGTAAACAAAATTTTGGAGGCTGCGGAATGGACTTTATTGATAAAAGGCGCAACAGATTCGACATTTGAGAATACTTGGTCACGGTTTTATAACTGGTATGACAAACATATGTAGGCAAGCTTGCAAGAGACAGACCAATAGTTTACTAAATGAAATATATACCTGTTAGGATGATAGAGACAGAAAAGTTGCTTACACAGTTCATGAGAAATTGTTATTAAGGCGGAATAGGTATTAGTATAAATATTGGTAGAATTAAGAATAACCTCCATGTGTTTGTATGTGTTTGTAAGTATGTATGTATATGTTATGATTGTTTGTGTATGTTATGTGGAAAATGCAATAAAATCCTGCCCCTTTGGGGGGCAGTTAAAAAAGAAAAAAGGAAAAAAAGAAAATACATTCAAAGAGGATCCTTCCATGCTAGAAGAATTTGCAGCTGCTTTAACAACATACTCATGATAGGCCGCGATCACATGGGCCAGATAACAGGGGGGGGAGGCGGGGCTTTTTGCACCACCGCAATTAGAGTCTCCATAACACGATCCCATGCGTCAGCGGCACGTCACGGTTCCTTCCCTCCGTGCCTGCGCATCAACGAGGGGCCGGAGGGAAAAGCCGCGGCTGGCGCGATTACATCGAGAGACTCCGGAGACAGCCCGTGGCAAACCGGTTGCTAGTACCTTCGAGCAGGTAGTTTTTAACCGCGCATTTTCAGCGGTACGCCATGGGTTTGCCACGGGTGCGCTCCACTACCCGGATGTTGTGGTGTGATCGCATCCGGATAATCCGCCATGCAATCATCAATCTCCTGCAGCAAATCCTCCGTGTGAACAGGGCCAAAGTTAAGTTTTTCATTCTTTTCAGTTGGGGGAAAAAAACCCACCCCAGCATGTTCTACATGCTTTTCCTAAGTAAATCCTTTCTGCTTGCTTTTGCAGAGAAGACAATGCCGTGTATCTATCAGGGCTGGGCACCATGGGAATGGAAGTCTACGAGCAGGTGCCAAAACTGGACGCCATGATCTTCCCAGCAGGGGCACACTGTGGATTGCTGGCAGGCTCAGCCGTGGCGCTAAAGCATTTGAACCCCAGCATATCTGTAATCGTAAGCACTTTTATAACTGTATCTGATGTGTTGGAGACAATCACGGGGATGGGCAGCCTCAAGGTGGGACCTTGGAAGGCACCAGAATTAAAGCTCATCTCCAGACTACACAAATCAGTCCCCTGGAGAAAATGGGTGCTCTGGAGGGTGGGGCTCTGTGGCACTGGACCCCGCTGGTGTTCCTGTCCTCCCCAGACTCCTCCCCCAAATCTTCAGGAATCTCCCAACCTGGAGCTGGCAACCCTGCCCTCCATCCCCTGCCGGTGGCCAAGGGGGACTTGGTGACCCTATGCTATTTCCATCTCTGATCAAGTTAAGTGAATACCGTGATCCCAGTAACGGCAAAACCAGCAGCTCCGACAGAACAGCAGATCAAAACGGCTCCAAAGACCTGACTTGTATTGCTACTCAAAACATGCAACCCAATCCGGGTTTAGGCACGCTTCAGAAAGGGGGATGGGGTTTGTGCCACACCAGAAACAAATGTAAAAACACGAGAAGAGCAATGCCGGACCAAACCAACGGTCCATCTAGCCCAGCATCCTACTTCGTACAGCAGCCAATCAGCATAGGTTATGTTTTTAATTTATATTTATTTACTTTATTTATATCCTGCCTTTTTCCCCAGTGGGGGACTCAGAGTGGCTTACATTGTTCTTCTCCTTTTCTGTTTTATCCTCACAATGACCCTGTGAAGTCGGTTAGGCTGAGTGTTTGTGACTGGCCCAAGGTCACCCAGCAAGCTTCCTGAATTCAAACCCGGGTTTCCCAGATCCTAGTCTGACACTTTAACCATATGTTAAACTGGCAAGCCAATAAAAGAGAGTTTTAGCGTCCTCTTCTTCCTAACATTAGGCTTCCTGTGGAGAGGAACTTTATTTGTACGGGTGAAAATTTAATCCTTTGAACTCTCACTTGAGCGAGAACCTAGTCCAAATAGTAACTCCTTACGACTGTTTGTACATAATTGCAGCTGATAGATCAAGTTTTCATAATGTCTTGGAATAGTTTCTAGACTGAGACACGCAAGTGTTTGTGAAAATATTTGACATTTTATCTGTATCTATCTTATATTCTAATAACTAAGTTGGCCAATTTTGGATACTTAAATCCGGTGACTGGCCCTGTGAATGGTCAAGACAGATCTTTCTACAAACTTGAAGAGGGCCCTGGGTTTTCATAAAAATCTGAAATTTAAAAAAACAAACAAACATTGGGGGCTTTAAAAATCCAAAAATGATAAAAGAGTGCCTGTAGCTTTAAGCTACAGATTCCCTCACTGGATGTTGCTAGGCAACCACAGCATTCCAGGCTGGGTTCTGTCAATTAAAGGGAAGGGGGAGAGGGCCATTTCCAGGCCTATTTTGGCCTCTGAGGGCAGACTCATTGGAGCCATGCCTGGGGCTATGGTTGCCAGGTCCAGGTTGGGAAATTCCTGGAGATTTTGTGGTGAGGTCTGAGGAGGGCAGGGTTTGGGGGGTGGAGAGGCCTCAGCTGGATATAATGCCACAGAGGCCACCTTCCAAACCAGCCATTTTCTCCAGTGGGACAGTTCTCTGTCATTTGCAATTCAGTTGTAATTCTGGGAGATCTCCAGGCCCCACCTGGATGTTGGCAATCCCAGGCCTGGGAGCAACTTCTGGGTAACTTGATACTGCCTGACTTGTATGACTCCCCTAGGCCTGGCTGCTTGCTAATGTTCAACCGCAGCTACCCTATGAAAGCCAGGGTGTTGTGGCAGTTAGAGCTTCCGAGTAGGGTCCAGGAAGCCCAGGTTCGAATCCACATCTAGCTGTGGAAGCTCGCTGGATGATTTTGGACAAGTCACATATTTTCAGTGTAAACTACCTCACTGGGTTGTTGTGCAGATAAAAAAGGAGGAGAGAAGAATCATGTGAGCTGTTTTGGTCCCCACTGTGGAGAAAGGTGGGGTATAAATGAAGTAAATAAATAATAAATATAGCTAAAGATGGGAGGCAAATAAGAGGTAGGTGGGTGAGTGGAGAGAATGAGGCAAGTAAAGGGGAGGGGCTAAGGGAGGGTTGCTGGGGGGGGAGGAAGGGGAAATAGTGGGGGAACGGGGATACAGGAGAATGTGAGGCACCCTCCCTACCATACAAGTGGGGCTGGCCATAGGTTTCCTAGGCAGAGGCTGATAGAGTCAGGGGAAGGGGGAGCTTAAGGGGCAGATAAAGGTTGGTTGGCTGTTGAGTGGGAAGGAGACAGGGTTGCCAACTCCAGACTGGGGGATTCCTGGAGATTTGGGGGTGGAGTTTGGGGAGGGGAGGGACCTCAGAGGGGTATAACAGACTTCATCCTTCAAAGCATCCATTTCCTCTGGGGGACAAGGGTTGCCAACCTCCAGGGGAAGGCTGGAAATCACCCCAAATTACAGCTGCTCTCCAGATGACAGAGATCAGCTCTCCTGGAGAACATGGCTGCTTTGGAGGGTGGATTCTATGGCATTATACCCTGCTGGGATCGCTTCCATCCCCAAACCTCAGTCTCCCAAAGTTCCACCCCCAAATCTCCAGGAATTTCCTAACTTGGAGCAGGCAGCCCTGAGGGGAACTGATTTCTGTATTTGGGAGCTCCATTGTGATTCCAAGAGATCTCCAAATTGGACATCCTAGAAGGAGAGAAGGAAGCAGGATAAGAACATAAGAACATAAGAGACGCCAATGTTGAATCAGGCCAAAGGCCCATCCAGCCCAACACTCTGTCACACAGTGGCCAGAAATAGCAGGTGCCATCAGGAGGTCCACCAGTGGGGCCAGGGCACTAGAAGCCCTCCCACTGTTGCCCCCCCCAAGCACCAAGAAGACAGAGCATCACTTGCCCCAGAGCCCCTATCTATACCTTGTGGCTAATAGCCACTGATGGACCTCTGCTCCATATGCCTATCTAATTCCCTTTTGAGGCCGTCCATGCTTGTAGCCGCCACCACTTCCTGTGGCAGTGAATCCCAGGTGTCAATCACTCTTTGGGTGAAGAAGTACTTCCTTTTATCCGTTCTAACCCGACCGCTCAGCAATTTCATGGGAGTGCCCACGAGTTCTTGTGTTGTGAGAAAGGGAGAAAAGTACCTCTTTCTCTACCTGTTCTTTCCCATGCATAATCTTGTAAACCTCAATCATGTCACCCCTCAGTCGTCTTTTCTCCAAGCTAAAGAGCCCTAAGTGCCTTAACCTTTCCTCATAGGGAAAGTGTTCCAACCCTTTTATCATCCGAGTTGCCCTTTTCTGCACTTTTCCCAAAGCTATAATATCCCTTTTAAGGTGTGGTGACCAGAACTGCACAGAAAAGAGGCCATGGGGGCTCTCAGGAAAGGGAACGAGGAAATAGTGGGGGAGGGGCAGATGAGATGCCTTCCGCAAGTCCTTGCGGGTCCCCACTTATATCTATATAATATCATGCTCTGACCTGCATAGCCCAGGCTAATCCAATCTTGTCAGATCTCAGAAGCTAAGCAGGGTCAGCCCTTGTTACTAGCTGGATGAGATCTTCTACCACAAAGGAAGTCCAGGGTTACTACACAGAGAGTGCGTTCAGACAGGGGATTTACAACGGTTAGGGTGCCGGTTCCAACCGGTGTACTTACGGGCGTTCACACGGTGAACATCTGCCTCCCATCCCTAACCGTTGTAAATCCCTTTAAACCGTTGCACTCTGCCACTAGGTCCCAAGTGGTGGTAAACTGAGTGCAACGGTTGTA